TGAAGCCGGTAGCGCTCAAGCAGCCCTTTTCGCATGGCTGGGAGGGAGGAGGGGGAATGCGGGGTGCTCAGGGGAGGGGGTGGAGTTAGGGCGGGGACTTTGGGGAATGGGCGGAGTTGGGGCGGGGCCAGGGTGAGAAAGGGGCGGGGCCAGGGTGAGAAAGGGGCGGGGCCAGGGCCCCGTGGAGTGTCCTCTTTTTTTATTTCTTAAATATGGTAACCCTATGCTAGACAAACCAAATTAAGTGGGCTTGCTAGGAAATACTTGGGAGGAGGGGAAGGTGCCTTCTCACCCAATTTTTAGAAGCTGTGCCCTGAGGAGGAGGAGAAGTGCATTGTTTACTGATCGCCTGTTACATGAGGACAAGCTCAGAATCCCAAACTGGATACAAGACTGACTCTCAGATTTGCAGGCGGGGGAAGGGGGGGCGCGCTTTTTTCTGAGCAAAAGCTGTTATGAACTTGTGGCTACAGAAAAACTCCTGTGTTGGGGTTGGAAGGACTGTTTATCTGCCAGAAGCCTTGTTGGAATTAGGGGGACATCTCTGGTAAGCTTATTAGCATGCGTGTAGGTTCTTTTATTATTTTTATATCTTTTCTCTGTAATGATTTTTACCTTAAGAATAAAATCTGCTTGCTTAGAGCTGGGTGGTAACTTTATTGTGAGCAATTACACTGTTTAAAGCCTCTGAGGAGAAAAGTAAAGCAGGCCTGCTTAGGCAGTCTGACTTTGCTGGGGAAATCACAGTGTAGGCAGGGATCTGTGCAGCCTGGAAGTACTCCAGTAAGGGGGGAGAGACGTGTGTCTCTGCTCAAGAGAGGTGATGGTTGAGGAGCCAGAAGTCTGAGAGTAGATGCCCTTGTTGGATCATGGAGGAGGAATAAAGGTGCAGTTGCCCTTGGACTGTGACCATTGCTATCCAAAAATGAGTTGTTTTATTTTCCTTCTTAGGAGCAGCCTCCTTATCCTGGATATGGTTCCAACTACTGGAACTCTGCGGTGCAGCCTAGAGTTCCCTACCCAAGTCCGTACCCCGCTGGACCTGAGTTACAAAGCCAGGTATAGTAGAAGGGCAACTCTTTCTCCTCTTGTTTCTTTTGAAACTGAAAAGTTTGTTTTGTTGGGGTGAGGTTCAAGCCAATACCCCAGTACTAAAGGGCTGGTTTCCCTTGAAAAGAAAGGACCCAAGAATCCCACATAGGCGATATTACTAAGCACTTGGTTCCTTTGCCCTTTTCTCCCGACTGCATTAGCCTCAGGAATTCCTACACACTGATGTGAAAATATTAAATTGGGTTTAAACTGGAAATTGAAACTTTAAACTACTTTAGCATCCATGCCTGAAACTCCTTAGTTAATTGTTGAAGCTCAGTGCAAATGTATTAATCTCCTTCGCTGTCAGTGTTGGTGACTTCCAACTGCTTGATATGAAATGCACTGTGTCCTGTTGCCAATGAACTGACAGTAATTTGGGTAATTATTTTTATATCAGTGGTCCAACTAAATGAATAATCCCAAATGACTCTTCTAGTGTCTTTCAGTCAAAGATCCCAAAATGCTTTACAGACTCTTAAAACAGTCATGTGGTAGGCAGGTTTCTATTCTGTTTTATAAATAGGGAAACTGAGGAACAAACAGATAAAGTGACTTGCCTGCAGTCACACAGTGCGTCAGTGGTGGAAGTAGGAATAGAACCCACTCTAACCATTAGATCACCCTAGAAACTCCCGAAAGCTGTGGGCAGAGTAGATTCTTCCTTGCCCTTCTCTCCCTGCCCATCCGTGATGCATGTCTGAAATTCTTGCCCCCGGTACTGGGCAAAATTCTTCTGGTTTCTTTATCCTGCCAGCTGAAGAAATTAGCTCTGATCTTACCACTAAAGCAGATACAACATTGGTAAGGCTGGAGACCCTGTTTAAAAAGCCCTACTCTGTACAATAGCAATCTGGTATGTTCTTTTTGAACACTCCTCTCACTGGAAAATGTTACTTAGCTAATTACAAAGCACATGCTGCTTTAGGGTTTCGTACTTGCATCCAGGGCCGGCATTAGGAAGTGCGGGGCCCCATTCGAACATTTTCGGCAGAGCCCCGGCAGGGATGACTAAAAAAAACCCATGTAAAAAAAACATCTTTCATTTCTTAGCAACTGGTTCCCTATAAAAAGTTCTGATTTAAGAGATGTGCCACAGTATGTATTTTTTTGTACCAATAGGGTTAACATATGTCAGTAATTTCCTGGGAAAATTTAAATTTTAAATTTAAAAATTCCTCTCGGATGGCGATTTAAGAACCAAAAAGCCTGACGTGTCTGGGAAAATACAGATGTATGATAACCCTACCTAAAGTTCTTTTCTTTTTTAAAAAGATGGGCCTGAACGAGAAATGAGCTCCGTTTCACATGTGTGGG